ATAAGAATTTATCTTCGTGTCCCTCAAATAACGTGACATACAATTCAAACACTACTGGAAGTGCTTTAAGATCAATTGTTAATCGCGACTCTTCCAGTCAAGGGCACACCGACACAACAGACAATGGCAAAACTCCACCCAGTAGCGAAGCAAATGCTCCCGGTGGAAGAAATACCTTTGAAGAAGTTTTCCAGGCTACTTTTAGAACCGCCAAGAAAACAGACAGAGTAAAAGCCCCAACAAAAAGAGACAAAAAGTTATTTACCATGATAATCGCTATTATCGTAGCTTACAGCTTCACGCAGTTACCTGTAATGATAAATAGAATTCTTACATTGGATAAACCTAAATATCCTTTTACGATGGTGATGTTACAAATGATTAATTTTGCAGGTTATTGTATAAATCCTATTATCTATGTGTTTATGTCCAAAGAATATCGACAGGCCTATAGTAAGCTTTACAGAATGATAATGCATAATCTTCAAAGAATCCGTAATTAGTGCATTTTCGGTATATGTCTTGTTATTTATAATTCTTTTATAGACCTCGTTCAAAATACCTACTTTAACCCCCAGTTTTTTAAAGACAGTTATTTAATATAGGTACTAAAACATTCTCCTGATTTTAATAAACACTTCTCTGAAAACTTCAGCCAATCACAATATATATAATCACTCACAAAAAGTCGGTTAAACATTAGCTAAAACCATTGATTTTTTCCAATGATTCTTCTACTAGCTGTTGCCCGCGTCTTGGCTCGCTTGGATTACGGACTTTATGACTAACCTTTTTTTTTTAACCCCTATTTTCAATCTTATGTGTTTCTAGATATTTAACTCCATTTCTTCTTCTATGTTCATAATATCTTCGAATGTATATTAATATTTTTGAAGTGTTTCCTTACTCTGTATTTTATTGTATTTATAGCACCAAATACACACATTTTTAGTAAAAAATTTAGTAATTTATTTTTGGTTAGACCTATAGTTTTTGTTGTACTCATAAATGCAGAGGTAGATATGCAGTCTAATAACCAACACATGTCGTATTAAGGTATCTCTAGAGATACGAATAACAGTTGTACAAAGCAACTGCATTATTCGCATGTGTGTCGCATAAACGCATGTACCCACTCGATTAAGATCATTGAAAATAAAATTGAACCCAAGTTTATAATAAACTTAAATAGAGAATCGTACCCTAAATTTTTTATCAAAAGTAGGTATGATTAAAACTTGAAATTGTAAGTACAGAATCGTAGGCGTACATTTAAAACGGCATCTAAATTTTTGTGGTAGACATTTATTGTGCACGGTTGTTAGTACCAGCAGAAAGGCGTCGCAAAGTGCTTGTCTCAGTTCGTTAGTTGTTCATTAGTGTTCTACAGAGACAATGGCGGACTGTAATGTTCATTTACCCACTACGCGGGGTGCTACTACGCGGTACGCCACTACGACACTATGCTATTCTGACGCTACGCCACTTAACTCCAGATTCACCACTTCTTTTTAACGACTCGTGTTGTTTACATGCTAATGTTAACAAAATCGCTATAATGTGAAAGATTTTTTCTAGAGATTTAATCTATTATTTCCGTAATAAAGTAAGTATATGTACTCGTAGGCAAAGGAACGCTAAGGGCTCTTCTTACAAGGAGAAAAAATGACCATTATAATGGAAAGAATGACCAATATATTTTCGGATATGGTGTAGAAAACGCAACGCAAGCTTTCATACATTCTGCCAAACGCTTGTCTCTAGGTTTGAATTGAAATTAACTAATATTGTGCACTAGCCACATAAGGAAGGAAAACAATTCTATGGCTTAACCATAAACTTCACCATAGTTTGAAGTGTAGAGGAAAGTAGGTGTAGGAAAAATGTAAACAATTAATTGTTGTCTATAACTATTTTCTATTCGACATGTCATAAACACATAAATTGATAAGTACATACATTACGTCACGATTCATTTTACAAAACTATTACTTTTTATGCTCCGTAATTTACAACTGTAATCTTAAGCTACTTAGAGCTGATATTGACTAAGTATTAATAAAACTGCCTCGACTGCCTCGTTGGCCGAGTGGTCGCAAGTGCGACTGCTGAGCAAGGGGTCTCAGCTTCGATTCTCGGGTCGGGCAAAGTACTATGGCGTTACGTACGGCGCCGGTATATAATAAGGCAATAGGCTCACCCCCTATTACGTGTGACTCATAACATAAATATTGAAAAGTGGGTGTTAAATTGTACAGTAGCATTAAGTGCCGTAATGTGCATCTCTGTCTACCCCTTTGGGGATAAAAGGCGTGTTGTTATACTTAAACTAAATATGCAATTTTAATACCTTTTTTTTTAAGGGGGGAAAATCATCGAATGACTGCTCCCGCCTGGCTGAGGCGGGAGGGAGTTAAGGCTTAAATATGATGAGTTAAACTGTCAAACACCAAGCGGTCACCGGTGACCGCAACCTATTGTTCTATAATTGTGTCTACAAAACCGGTACTCGACGAGTTAATTACCTAATGCACTTCTAAGGAACTCTTTATGAATGAGGAAATTCTAAAGTTCAACATGTTTAATTGCTTTTTGGACTTTGATATTACTATAAGCTAAATTTGATTCGTCATAGCGCCCTTATAGTTAGATTCGTTAAAATTCTAAGTACATAGGTTCATGGTGGATACATGTGTAATTGTGTATATTGAGAAACACATTAAAATTTATTGCTAACCTCATCTAAGAATTCTTGTAGAAACGAAAATTTTCATTTAGGTACATCAATGCAACAAAAAAAAAGTTAAACAAATATTATCTAATTTTTACAAACGTTTACAAACGCATTCACAATACAAGATAAAAAAATGTAACATACATACATACATAACATAACATCATGCCTTTTTATCCCCAAAGGGGTAGGCATAGGTGACACCCAGTTTTCACTATTTATGTTATGAGTCCCATGTAATAGGAGGTGAGCCTATTGCCATATACCGGGCACAATTCCTGACTCCGTGCTACTATTGAGATTTTTTTTAAAAAACCCAGTAATACTTATTTATTTATTTATTTAACGGACAAAAAACAGTTACATATTAAGATTTTACATAAAAGTTTTACATTAAACAACAACTACAATAAATATGTAACCCACACCATTGCCCACAATTTAGTATAAAGTATAACGGCAATAATGAATACTTTAACATACATATGTACAGATCAAACTTCCTTTGTAAGCTTTTTGAAGTCAGTTAAAAAATAAAAATCGCAACTGAAAATGAAACCACGTAGATGGTAATTACAAAGAAGTTAAAGCAAATAAATATCACTTACATAGTTTAATTACCTATCGGGAGAAGTTTCCTCAATGTTTAGAAAACCCCTCGGGTTTCCATGTTCCGTAATATTTCACGTTCATTCGTCTCTCGTGAGTTTAGAGGCATTGCCGAGTTCAATGTGCTATTGGTGTCCAAATATATAGACATTGATATAAATCACTTGAATGATTTGTGACAAAAAGAAGATTTAACATTGTGTTTGTTTTGTCTTTCTTTCATCACGCATCAACTTAAAGGATTGCCACGATTTTATTCTTAGAGGACTGTGTAGAACATTGCCATTACTATTAAGAACTCATCAGCTAACTCTCATTAAAAATTATGGAATACACTTCGATTGAATTGATTATCTTGAATCTTAAAAACTAAGCAACGAGTATCCAGTAATACTTACACAAAAATCAAAAATTCTACAAAAAAAACAATTATGAAATAGGTATATATCATGTAAAATGATAAATAACACTTTTAGAAATGACCTAAGGTAATCTCCTATTTTCGTACTTATTCCATTTGGTTTATTAAACTTAGAAGTTCCTATACAATGTTATTATAGTTATACCATTCATCAATTAGTGCTTAAGTCTACATCATAATCGACATATTGAGTTTTATATAACCGTTATATAGCGTCATTTAGCCTTAATTAAATATATGCAGGAGCTCATTGATAAACTGGCTTGTAATTCTATTAATCGTACATATTTATAAACCAGTTCTTGAAATTGATGATTCCTGTTATAACATAAGTCTAACATAGCAAGTTCTCGCTTTTGTTCCCACAGTAGTAAGTAAGAAGAGACATGTGTATATAAGTGAACTACTTATATAACCTATACAATATACCTTAGCCTTTTTTGCAGATATCGTCTTTTTTTTTTGTTTTTTTTTTTTAAGGGGGGAAAATCATCGAATGACTGCTCCCGCCTGGGTGAGGCGGAAGGGAGTGTCAGACTCTTACTGACTAAAAACCACCCCGTTCCTTCTCCTGCACGTCGAGCCGGAGCCCCGGTTACCCGTTAGGTTCTCCGCGACTCCGAATCGACATCGGCCCTATTGGGCCCCATCTGTGGTGGTCTGATGGCTCTTTGAGGCGCGCGCGGAACGCGGCGCGCCGTACGCTCGGGTCTGTTTCTGGTCGGACGGGGAGCCACCCATGCTCGCCGTCCGCAGGCCCGCGCTTACGGTGGCCGGAGATCGTCTCGCGATCCCCGACGCCCGGTGTGTCCTTCGCGATGGCTGGGTTGCGAGGAGGCAGCGCTTCGCTGCCTCACGCGTCCCGCCTCCTCCTTGCAGATATCGTCTAAACGTCTTATAGACTATACATACCCTCCAAAGATATTTTGATTATTATGAAACAACTAACTTTATAATGGTTTTCCTGCATATGGTACTGAAGTTTGAATTACAAAACAAATGAGTAAATGTTTAAATTTAGACACCAAGTCTTGCATCAATTTCAGTGTTAAATTAATTATTTATTGGTGACTGTATTATAAAATTATTATAATGTGCGGGTATACAGCATTATCGTCTTACCACGTGTGACGCACAGGGAAAACGAATTATTTACGCTTGTGGAAACACAATAGCATCAAAGACACATTGTGACCACTGAAAATACCATTAGGACTTTTATAGCCATAGCGAATAGACCGCTTACAAACCAAACATGTAACAATCAATAAATCTCATTACAAGTGCTTTGGAAATTGCAAGTGATATTGAAATCTTCAACGGTACCAATAATTGTGTAAAAGTGTAAGATGGTGGCGTGTGATTACACCAAGTCGGATTTTGGTATGTCGTATTCAACAAGTGAAGATTTAGCATCGGTTGGACTGTTCAGGTGTTATTCTGAAACGCTCCTGGCTTCCGCTTCTGCATGCTGTGTGGCCTTCATGGTCATCGGCATCCCTGGCAATCTCACTACTATTATAGCACTCGCTAGATGCAGAAAGGTATGTTCAATTTTGTATTTAAGCCATTTTGTTTCTAAGCATTCAAGCATTCTCTTGTTTTTGCTCAATATGATTCATTGTCACAGTCATTCATAAGACTGCACACTACTAATGCATAATTTTCTCTAAAGACTTCCAAATTGTTAGATCGGAAACGCAATAATACGTATTTCATTGAAATAATAACTTTAATCCCTAATTTTATAAAGAAAAACACAAAAGTATATCTAATCATAAGAATAAGACATTTAATAATAAGACATTTAATGATTACTTAAACTATTCCTTAGTAACGATTTTGTTCCGAATACAATTGCTAAGGACTGGGTTAAGTAGCCATTAAAAGACTATGAGTATCGCAGTTGGACCCTCAGCTAGATAGACACAATGATTGTCCATCGTAGAAACGGTGGTACCAATACCACGGTCCATTTTCACGAAAATTTGAATATTTCAAAGAACGGCTATGTTGGGTGAATAGCGGCTATAATTTGCTAAATAGAAAATTATTTAAGCAGAGATAAGTATTAACAAACTGATTAAAGGCCACGACAAACCTATTCATCTGTTTTGATCGGTTTGAAGAGAATTGTAACCATAAGCATAGTTAAATACATACATAACATCACGCCTTTTATCATCCCCGAAGGGTTAGACGGAGACATTACGGCACTGTACAATGTAACACTTTTCACTATTTATGTTATAAGTCCCATGTAATAGAGAGTGAGCCTATTGCTTTATACCGGGCATGATTCCAGACTTCGTGCTACTACTGAGATTTTTTTAAAAATCCAATAATACTTTGCCCAACCTCGCACATTTGCGAACACTCGGCCAACGAGGCCGTCCATAAGTATAAGCATAAGTCTTTGTTTTAATATGTCTAACAATAAATTCAAGAAGTATGACCATCTTATATTTTATGACGAATTTTTCTACCTTTGTGAATCTTCAGTTAAGCCAGCCAATTGTCGATGAAGTAGTACGTGCCTAAGGGTTCATTATCAGGTCTATTGAGTAGCCACTATCTGTAGCATTCAACACATTGTTTTTCTTTCTTGTTTATTAGATTTAACCAGCAATGTTATTTCACCGGGACTAAATAAAGTTATGTTAGTAAGTATGTTATAATAATCAATACGTTTATGTTTACAGGTCCGGAATGCGACAGCGATATTCATAATAAATCTCCACATATGTGATGTGATATTCGGCAGCCTGATTCTGCCGCTGACGGCCATCACGTTCTTGCAGAAACAATGGACTCACGGGTGGATCATGTGTCGCGTGTACGCCTACTGCAAGTTCACTTTAAATGCCGTCTCCATCTTCACAGTCCTGGCCATCACTATTAACAGATATATCATTGTCTGTCACCCACTCTGGTACCCCAGGTACGTAAAAGTAATGTTCACGTAAAACACATAAATCTAGTGTTCAAAGTAGAATAACTATTACATAACGATTTTTTTTTACAGAATTTATAAAAGAAGAAACATGACATTTATGTTGATACTCATCTGGATGTTGGCCTCAGCACTTTTTTTGCCATCCTACTTTGGAGCATGGGGTCGATTTGATTTAGAACCTAATGGAGGATTCTGCACAATGCTTGAGGACGAAAATGGGAACTCCCCAAAGAAATTCTTTTTAACTATCGCCTTCATAGGACCTTACCTCATTATAGCTATATGTTACGCTAGAATTTGGTGGGTGGTAATGAAAACTGCAAAAAAACTACGAGGACAAAATCCTAGACCAACGCGCCCAACACATTTACCTCTAATGCTCACTCAATCTGATACGTCAACGGACGGGAGGACACTTATAAGCTTCGATCCTGCAAGTTCTACAAACAGTACAACTGATGACGATAAGACGCCACCTAGCAGTGCCAGTTCTACACCAAATGATAATAGAACTTTTGACAAATATTTCAAGGCTCCATTTAGACTTACTAGAAAAGAAATAAGACCAAAGGCACCGACAAGAAAAGACAAAAAACTGTTTGCAATGATCGCTGCGATAATGCTATCTTACAATCTAACTCATTTGCCATTGATGGTGACAAGGTTTGTCTACAAGGAGTATAAGTCTGAACCTTACGCTAACGTGTCTGCCCATCTCTTATCATATCTGGGGACTTGCATAAACCCCATCATCTATGTATTAATGTCGAATGAATATCGACACGCATACAGGAGTCTCTTTGAAGACATTATAAATAAGTTCCGTAGACTTATTGAATAGCACGTCAATAATGAAGAAAGAATTCATAAGGTAAGGTAGTAGGTACTTTACTACCTAATCTAGTGAGAATGATACGTTTCCTGCAAAAATCATGATCATGATTACAAGGAGACAAAAACACATTGGGTGAAACTCACTGTACGTTCTGGTTGTAATGCGACACTGGACTGGACACACGTTCATTTAAACGAAAAAGAGGGTTCGAACGTGTGAAGGAAGAGTACCTGTAAAGCGTAAAGAAATGATTGATATACAAAGACTACTTCCTTGTGCTGTAAGGAAGGTAAAACAGTATTATTATCATACACTACATATAATAATGTAAAAAATAAATACAATTAAAGTAAATAAAAAATAATTCAACTTAGTTTCATTGCTTTTTTTCGCTATCGTATAAAAACTTAACAAAGAGTGTCAAAACATAGTACATAAATTGTGGACAGTCTTCCTTAAAACTTTGTATCGTAAAGCTGATGTATGAAATATTCTCAACTCAATGCAAACGCATATACGAACACAGATTAAAATGTGGTGTCTATCCGTTTAATATGAAATGAATTTTCGAGACAATGATGAATGGTCATCGTTACCATATTCAATTTCCATCGCAAATATTTAGTTTCAATTTTGCTATCGAAACGGTATGTTAAATACGGAGGAAGAGAGTATGCTGCTGGCTTTATGTCTGGGATTTATGGGCAGGTAATATATTCGAGGAATATTAGCAGTGTCTTTTGAAAATTTATTAGTTCTCCCGTCCTAGAACAGTCAGTACGTCCTTCTTCAACTACAGTATGTGACGATTCACTGCTAAATTACTAGCATCTTCTGTACATATAATAAACCTCCACGCTTGACCGGTTCTTCCATTATTTACTAGAATAATTATCTAACAAAACACAACAAAATAAGTAATTAACTTTTAAAACACACGCTGGAAATGTAGCCAGCAGTTTCTTTGTAGTTATCAGTGCCTATCAGGAGCAGCCAACTCTTACGGTTAATTAATTAGAGCAAAGCAAAAAGTTGTACTAAAGCAACGTAGCCATGTGTGAGTGAAGACGACAAGACTCGCTATTAACCGACTTAAAGGAAAACAGAATGTGAATCTAGAATTAATTAATTTATTTAAAAAAGATTTTCTATAGTAATTTTATTTTATAAGACTTAATTTTGTTTGTTTGTTCGTTTGTTTACCTCCCCGAAACAATTGGTTCGAATTGAACAATATTTTTTGTGTTTTGTAGTCCACTCATCGAGGAAGACTATGGGCTAAAGCCTCATAATATTGAAAGAGTTAGGGGAGCCGAGCAGTGGTTGAAGCCACGTTAAAGTCACTAGTTTTTAAATATGAACAAAAATATTTTGTTTTTTAAGGAACAGGATGTGATTAATCTTAGGAAAATGGAGGATCCTACGACCAAGATAGGCTATCATTCATGTCTTGTGAGCTACTGCCCTAAGGTTTACCAAATTTGAGAATTTCTATCACTGGTACTTCGACTCATCATCAATTATTTGTTTAATTTTCGAACTTTTATTAATGTGATTGCCAGTGGCATAATATAATTAATCGTAGAGAAAAAATCCTGGATATTTTTACTAATTAATTCGATTACTTAAATTCATATAATATTTAAAAAATAAGTAATCACAATTCATGATACTTCGAAAAAAGAATTTTATTTGTGTGCTTGACCATATTTGTACATATTTTTTAAATGTAGATGTCGGTAAAATAAGATACGGTGTCAACTGTTTTGACAAATACAGTACTACAAGTGCAGTAGCATTAGATAGTGAGACTATTATATAGGAGTAATTGTTACGATGGAAAAGTAATAAAAGTGAATTAACTAAGAAATTGTGTAATTAGCGTAGTGTTGAATTTTCATGTCGTAATTTCAAATACCTAATCAATAGTAGTGAACTTCCTTCTGAATCCAAATTTAGCACTGATTTTTACGTTCATTAAACGCCATATCAAAATGTGACGTTTATTTGTTGCTGTGTTACGCAAAATGAAATTCATAAAACTTAAGTAACTTCTGATGTCGTCTGTCTACTCGTATTTAATTAAACTAGACTAGACTACACGTCAAACGTTAGGCAAGTATAATAACTCGACTCGGTAAAACCCAAATGACAAACAGGCAAACAGCCCCTATAAACTGCTTAAAAGTTAAATAATGTTCATGAAGTTGGTTAAAAATTAAACTTTAACAGCATCTGTAGGCACTTAGATTCAAATTATGAGTGTAACATTTCGCGCTAAAGATGCGGTCGGTATTAAAAATGTAGATTTTTCCGTGGACCTTCTCATAGCACAGCTGAATGCTAAATAGGGTAGCGGCGAACCGCACTCGATGTAACAGTCCCTTTGCCGCACCACAAACTATGCTGGGCTAGGAAAACAGCGGATACGTTAAAATTCTAAAATAATAAATATTCATTATATACTCGTTGAAACTATCTTCCTTTTTTCTTTTTTTTATAGAAAACGTTGCTCCACACTAGTATTTTCTCCTGTGTCATGGGTGCGTTCACAAACATATAAATTCACATATACATGATACCCAGACCCAGAACAACAATTTGTGGATCACACAGAGTTGCTTCGTGCGGGAATCGAACACGCGACACGTTGCGCGGCAGCCGGTTGGCCAGCCACCGCACCAACCGTGCGGTCACCTTATAAATATAAAGTTATAAAAATAAAAAT